CTCGTGTCCCCTGCATCGGCAGGCGGACTCTCAACCACTGCGCCACCAGGGAAGCCCCTAAAGTTTTCATTTTTAAAGATCTCTCACACTCTATCCTAAGTATCAGTCAGCAGAAAAACTGGTTTCCATTTAACCTTGGTTAAATGCCCAGCTCTGGGCTCTGTGCCTTAAGATGTAATAAGATAACCATGGCTGTGCTGGAGGCTAATAAGCCTGCATAGCTGTTACACTCAGCCCACATGCACCCAAGCTTTATCTTAGCACCTATATCACAGCAGTTCCTGGATGGGGTGTGGGAGGAAACGCCACGACCATCATCAGGAAACCACAGACAAAAATAGGCCTTGAAAACATCTCTAAATGGTGGTAGTAAGACCTCTTCTGCATGAAATTGAAGACCATTACAAGGGTACACAAAAAAGTCTCAGAAATGCTTTAGGAGAGGCCACAGAGTTTAAAGGTAAGTCTGATCATTGTAAATTAATACTGCTCTGGGTTAAGATGATAAAACATGGGCAAGATAATCCATCTGGCTATACTGTTTAATCACCTATAAATATAGCTAAAGGATGCTATCAATATACTGAGTGTAAGCTTAAAGCACGCAGAATATTTCCTCATCAGGCTGGGCAATGAGGGTAGGGTTTTTTTTGAGGGTAGTATCTTGTTTTATATTTTTAAGTCAGTAACATGATGACAAGAAATAGAAGACATGCTTGTCACGTTTCAGATAAATAGAGCTAGAAGAAATTAGCAAGCAACAGATTTGGCAAAATTGGCGATGCTGGTCAAAATTTATCTGAGATAACTATAAAATACTGTTTTTATGTTAACATATATTCACTTCAAATATTTATTAAAAACTTACTATGCAGGACCTTCTATGGGAACTATACAAGTTATTCAAGTAAAAAATAATTTTTTAAAGGTGATTATTATTTAACCCTCTGAGGTCATTAGCGTGAGCAAGTGTGCAGACTGTGCACGCATCAGACTTATCTGCGATGCTTTTGCAACACTTTAAAGAGGGAAAAATATAAGTAATATATACTCATCAAAGAGAACTTAGGGTAATAAAACATTATGCACAATTTCACCAATTTTCCAAGTATAAAGCATGAAACGTGTGATAAGAATGCAACAGGGTCTGGTAAATATAGCAAAGAGAAGAATCATTGAAGAAACTGGGCATATTTAGCCTGGAGAGAAGACAGTCCAATTGTCCTTCAAATATTTGAGAGTTATTCTGGAGAAAAGGAGGTATTCAGCATTGTTCCAGATTAACAGTAGCAAACTCAAATGTCCTCAAGGGCCAAGGAAGTTACGTGTGCCAGTGCAGTAGGACAGGCTTAAGACACAGCAGGGTCACGTAGGGACTAAGGAGCACAGAAAGATGAATGACCTGTCTAAAGTAAACAACCCCAGTTCAACTCCATCGAATTGGGAAAACATCCCAGAGCTGCCAGAGCGCCTATTTTAAAAGAAAAGCTAGAAATCCAGATACTTTAGTTGTCAATTTTTACAACATTGACAACTAATTAAAAATAAAAATTAACACAGAATGTATGCCAACCTCCCCTACCAGAAAAAGAGAAAAAAAAAATCCTCTAAACCCACTTGTCCACAGGCATGAGGTATAGTTTCCATCCTCCGTTCTAGAGAATAGAACTAAGAGCAGCAGATGAAAGGCTTAGAGGCTCACTTTATCCTTGCTACAGAGAGCAGTCGCCAGCAGAGGCTGCGAGATCCAAGAGAGGAGGAATCAAACAGAGCTGAATGGCCTTAGATACCCATCTAAAATGATCTCTTAAAACACTTCTAGTTCTGCAACTATTATTCAACGACTTCAGAAAAGCTTTTCTCTTATCAGCCTCAGACAGAAATACGCAAAAAATAGCCACTTCAAAAAGGGTCAAAACCCAAATAGAGAAAAGTATCTGTTATCCAAATATGCATTATTTACAATAGGGAAAAAAAAAGGTTTAAACAGTAGGAAAATAAGTAAACCACGGCATTTTATAAAACATGCAGCCCATTTAGAAGTCTACAAAGGCTATATATGGAAAGATACTTTGGGAAACTTGTGGGTTCCCCTTTGCTTTTTCCTATTAGAGGTTGTATGATTACAGTTATAGTAAAATAAAGGATAGGGAAAAAATAAAGTAATGGTACCCAGTGTTAATAATGCTTGTCTATGGGGGATAGGACTTTGGAGAAAGCATGTTTATGGTACTTTTTCAGGTTCTGAGGCTGTCACTGAAAACATCACTCATAGAGCATTTGCAAAGATGCGAGGAGGTAGTAATTTTGTAATCTCAATTTTTTATGCTTTAATGTGAGAATAGCCATGATGGAAAGAGCCCCTTCCAACACACAGTGAATTTTTATTTTAATTAATTAATTTTTTTTGGCTGCACCACACAGCTTGTGGGATTTTTAGTTCCCTGACTAGGGATTGAACCCGTACCCCCTGATTTGGGAGCACGGAGTCTTAACCACTGGACCACTGGGGAAGTCTCCTTCCAATACATATTAGACAGAAATCTTACAATGTTTGTGTGCCTAACTCTTCAAGGCTTATGGTCATTCTTGGGTATTCTGTTGGATTACAGGCTTTTGTAAGACATATTCAATGACAGGCTTTTATAACTAAAATGTATTAGAACCAACTTTAAATAATTCACCTAAAAGGCACATTTCTGACCACTTTTTTCTTACTCTAACCAATAAAAAACTACTCTGATACCATAAGAGACTCACACCCAGCTCGCACCATATAATATTTTACAACAACTCCTATGCCTTTATACAGCAATTACATATAGGTATTTTTGTTTTAGTGACTGTGTTACCAAGAATTATGTCTTTTTGGAGCAAATAATCTAAATGCATTGAGTGGATCTTGATACATCAAGTTGCTCTGAAATGAAAACATTTCCCTGACATAACTGCTAGTTTGTGGTCCCATTCTTCTGCTCTGGACTCTCTGAATGAATCACACTTGTATTAGTATTTATTCATATATAACTTCCTGAATATTAAGAATTGTTAGAACTTGAAATAGTTGACTTTTTTTCTTTGTTTTTGCTCCCTATCAACACATGGTATTCTGACAAACACCAGTAAAATTCACTTTTGGTGAAAGTTTGAAATGAACCAAGAAAATTACTCACTTGGAAAATAAGCCATTGGGTCCTGAAGGTTTTATGAGGTATTTGTCCACTTGCTTGTCAAATAAGTGATGTGGTAACCGCAAGCGCTTGGTGACATTATGGAGGTTTAAGGCATACAGAGTTAAATCTCCTTCTTTATACCTTGGGCTAAAAGCAAATGGATTAAATCAATAAAAATATTTGTCTAATATGAGCAATTGAATAGTTGATTAAAAATATAGTCATGGATAATACTAAGTATTAGTATCTATAGTGATGATGGGCCCTCTTTGTATCCTTCCATTTATGATAATATTAGGCTACTGATGTGGTCCTATTTTGAAAACATGATAAAAATATTGCTCTTCACACTGCCATTTTCTGGGCTTTAGCACTTTGAGATCTTTGCTGCTTTGCTAGGCTGCGTTGTGAGGAAGCCAGTCAGCCCATACAGGTTCAAACACAGGGAAGTTAAATGGTAAAATGGAAAATTTCAGGGTTCATGTGAATTCCTGATATAAACCATATAAACCCAGGCTTTTCCTAACCTTATGAAAAGACTGAAACAAATAAGAAAATTAAATCTACCGACACTTTTCAGAATTTTTCCACCTAAACCATTCCCCCACTTATTCCTAATGGGGCTCACAACCCAGAAACAGAGTTCCCACTCACTGAAACAGGAAACAGTGTGTAGCTTTTGTAGCTAGAATTAGCATTTTAATATTATTCTATTAGGAAAGACAGACTGAAACTAAAAAGAGAAAAATCTCAGACTTAGGAACATTTTTCCTACCTAAGGCCAGAGTATTGGACTACAAAAGTCTCTATGGCCTCTCAACTCCAGAAACTGGGTTGAAACTTTTGAAAACATGAGTGTTATTGTTGTTATTGGTGTCATTTTAATTCTTCTTCTTTATTAATCAGATATGATGCAAAGGGATAAGTATATTCATGTAATTATTCATTCATATGAGTTTATATTCATATTTTATTCATTCATAGTCATTCAATTGATTAATCATTCATACAAAATTGGTTTTATGTGCTTCGTTTATATCATTATTTAAATTCAGGATATATTTTCATTATGGATTGTGATAATTAAATCATTGTACAAATCTTTGCTGGACTGCAAATGCCTATGTTTAACTTTTTTTTTTTTTTTTTTTTTTTTTTAGCTAGACTCTGGCACCATATCACTATGAGAATGAAAAGAAATGAAGAACAATGACACACCTTAGACCCACTGTATAGATAGAAGACAACAGGGTGTTAGAGTAGGAAGTTGTGTGCTTACTAATTAAAACTTGTTGATTGGTAAAGGGCGTCTTACACACTTACTGGTTGATGTTTGTGCAATGAAGATACACTCGAAGTTTGTTTCTGTCTGGACCTTTCACACTTGCCATTAGCACATTGGTGCCCACCAGTTTCTTGAACAGAAGAGAGAGCCAATAATCCTAGTTGTAGTGATTGGGGAGGGGAGGGACAAAAATAGATCTTTACTTACTCTTTAACGAAAACAGTGTCAAGCAAATAGTTATCCTACAAAGAGTGTGACTGTTATCCTAGAGCTATTTTAAAAGGATTCATCTTTTGGTCTGCATTACCACCACGAATCTGAGGGCAATATGTTGTTTGCTGCTTTTTATCACTGGAGGACTACACTTCCACAATTCAGAGGGCTATACGTGCTAGGAGATAAATCTCAAGGATGTAACTCATTGCTCAGAGACAGTCTAAATATTCTTTGTTGTCAAACATCCAAGAATTCAAAGCTCAAAGCAAAACTTTTACATATAGACACATACACACCCTCACACACACACACACACACACACACACACACAAAGCCAAGTTTTAAAAATAAAACTTCTGTTTAGGAGACTAAAACAATTTCCTCTGAAACCTTATAAACACCCAACCCCTGCCCAATAAGGCAGTGCATTAGGCAGTGACCATCACTAGCTATCAAGGTCAAGAAAAGAGACAATCAGACATTACGTGTCTCTTGATGGAAGCACACAATATCACCTATGAAGAATTCTTGCAAAACAAAAACCCCCACAAAAATCAAGCCTCTGGGGTCTAGCTACCAGTTTACAGGAAATACAGGGGGCAGAGGAACATGCTAAATGATACCACAGAGATAAATTTAGCAAAATCCAGAATGTGGGAAACACTATATAACATTACCTGGTTTCTTAATAAATTCCAAGGGACAAAAAAAAAAGAGAGGGAGAGAGAACTTAAAGATCAACAGACTTAAGAGATATAATAAATACAATATATGGACCTTGTTTGGATTCTGATGTGAATAAACCAACAATTAAAAACTTTTGTGACTGGGGGGTGGGGTGATGGTGTGATGAATTGGGAGATTGGGATTGACATGTATACACTGATGTGTATAAAATGGATGACTAATAAGAAACAAAAAACCCCCAAAAAACCAAAAACACACAAAAAAAATTTGTGACAATAAGGAAAATGTGAAACACTGACTAAATATTTAATGATACTGAGAAATTATTGTTCATATTTTAAAGTATGATAATTATATTTTGTTATGTTTTTACAAAGGAGATACATACTGAAATACTTATGGATAAAGTGGTATACCTGAGATTTGCTTAGAAGTAATCCAGTAGGTGGGAGGTAAAGAGTGGGTACGATTATGGATTAAACAACATTAGGGCTTCATATACTTTTCTCTCTACTTTGAATTTTTTCATAATAAAAAGTTTTGTTTTTTTTAAAATCCACTCAATATATATATACCCCAACCATTCCTTCCTGAGCTTGGGTAAGGTAGACTCAACAGGCAAACCGCTTTTGTTTCTCTGCTGAACTTCAAAATTCTTACTGGAGACAAGAAGAGAATCAATTAAATGTTTTCAAAGGAGACGTAGCATGGTTCCATGACTTGGAGGTAGAAAGCAAGCAGGCTCAGAGGATTTGTACATGTCATTGGTGCAAGTTCTAACTAAATGGTTAGAAGAAGGAAGTATCTGGTCCCTAGGTGTTATGCTTATGTCTCTGTTTATAAGAATTCATATATTGGAGTGTTCCAGGAAAGCAGGAAGGGTGTTTGAAGGCTGCATGCTGCTTAGTTTAAAAAAAAAAAGTTCCTCTTCTGTTTTATTTTTTTTTTTTTTTTTTTTTTGCGGTACGCGGGCCTCTCACTGTTGTGGCCTCTCCCGTTGCGGAGCACAGGCTCCGGACGCGCAGGCTCAGCAGCCATGGCTCACGGGCCCAGCCTCTCGCAGCATGTGGGATCTTCCCAGACCGGGGCACGAACCCGCATCCCCTGCATCGGCAGGTGGACTCTCAACCACTGCGCCACCAGGGAAGCCCTGTACAGGATTCTTTAGAGTAACAATGAGCTGTGTGACCTCCAGCAAATCACACAAGCTCATCTCAATTTGAACTTCCTTATTTGAAAAATGGATCTAAGATACCTTCCTTGCCACCTTCCAGGACTGTTTTGCGAATTCCCTGGGATTCTGCAGATGTCAAAGGTACCATTTACTCTTGCAAGTTTTTCTAGCTGACTTGTGAACCTTGAGGAGGAAGTATATTTAGCACATATACAAAGAATTCTTAAGCCAATAGTTTATGTTTGGCTGAGAAGCTTTAGATAACATCATAAATAGCTGGTACTACTTACAAAGAGTGACAGGATAAGCTGGCTAATTTCTAGGCATTGGACTCAAAGCAAATTGTGAAGAAACTGTTTATTTCTCTTCCTTGTTCAAGGTCCATTTAAGAAGGGGCCAGTAGTAGATTTTGGATATTTGTCTAATGAAATGATCACATTTGGTTTAACTCATTTTATAAATGACTCATAATATACTTGGGGAAGATAGATTCCATTTTGTGCAAAGACATTTTGCTAAAAAAATTTTTTAGGTTATGAACAGTGTGCTCCATGAATTTGGACCACTACAGGCTAAAAGCAATTTGTGGGGGAAATCTATCTACAAACCACAAAAGCCTAGCTTATATTTTGGCATGTGCTTTTTGCAGACTTTCTTAGCTTTCCTACAATGTTCAAGCAATTCCCTTAGGAATTATTCTTAGAAAATAGATATTCTCAAATGCTGTTTTAGACTATAAAAAATCAAGGTCATACTTCTCAGGCTATACCTATGCTATCCCAATTTTTAGATATATATATCTTCCAGGTGGCTTTTTAGATAGAAAGGCTATATTTCCTGATTAGTACCAGATGTAGTTGGAAGTAGGGTGGAAATGAGATTTTACTCATAAATATCTTGAAGATTATTAACAAAATAGCCAATCGTATGGTGATATTTTTGAACAAATACATGGTACTAGCTTATTTTAAGTTAAATTATGATTTCATGACAAAAAATTTTGAAACTTTGGATACTACAGGCAATTTTAACTTTGATTCACTTGGCAAAACATTTGATTCAAGTTTATCTTGTAAAATCGAAGTCAAAAAATGTCAAATTACTCCTTTTTAAAAAAATCCCACAGCATGCCCCAAATAACCCACATTAAAAACATTATTTCTGGGTCTCAATTTCTTGAGACACAAAAAAGTTAGAATGAGTGATCTCTAAGGTTTCTTCTAATTCATCTGTCCATGGTTTGGCTACTTATTGAGAGCACTGAATTTATTGAGAGAATTGACTATTTATAAAAGGTTAATACAGGGGGCCCTTAGTATACTCTAACCTACTCACGATAATAGGAAAATAATGGTCACTTACAGGCAAAGGTTCAAAATTTTCATCCACTAAGTGGTAGTTTCCAGCTCCGAAGAACACTTGCCTCATCACCACTTCTATGCCCATTCTGGCCGACAGGCCCAATTTATCCAGCCACCTGGAACACAGTGAGGCCAAGCTTTCTTCAGATTTGGAAGACAAAATAACTCAGTTTTAACTATACACTATTCTGATTTATTCCTCCGTGTGGGAGGAGTTGACAGGAAGCCAGAAAATTAGTATCATCAATGAGGCATTCAGAAGTAGAGACTATCCTTCACTTCACATGTTCTCACACTTCTGCATGATAACAAATCCTAGAAGACGATTATATGCTATAGGAGTCCCTATCAGGGTAGGACAACATCTACAAAGCAGAGATGACAAATGCCCACACTTAGAGACTTATTCTCCGTCCTGTGGGATCCAAACCCGCCCTTCCCACCTCCACCCGCCGCCTCCCCACCCGCATTTCCACGTGAGGTCTGAAGAAAGGATTGCTGGTGGCCAGCAGCACTAAAATGCGAAATAAGTAGAATCACCCCTAAGCTTTTATGGACACTTCCTCCCCCCGTGTTCAGTCAGTGGCAAAACACACATCCCCTTTCTTTCCTCTCCTCATGCCTCCACAAGCATAAGGGATGTGTGCTCTAGTCGGGGCTTATGAGAATGAGGGTAGGACAGGAAAGAGAAGAAAGCTCAATATGAGCATGTAGAACTATAGACTAAGAGTGTTAACTGAGTTATGAAATGTAAGGAAACCAGTTGGTTTTAAAGCAATCAAGTTTGTGGTGCTTGGATAAGGGGGTGATTTAGTAAATCTTTAAATTCATTGGTAGCCCCTCGGGTGTGACCTCATACTTCCAGGCTCGAAACTTCTTGGGAATCTATGAGTAGAGCTACAGGTACTCAGAATCCTTCTCAGAGTCAAGGCTCTTGATGCACTCTTTTACAATGTATTTCTTTAGAGAAAGGAATGCTTGACATATTTATGGGCCATAATTAAGGAACAAAACTTCTAAAGCAGTTCATTCATACAATGATTAATTTGGGCACATGTTAAAGATGTCCAACCAACTTTAGTAAATCATTTTCTTGCAAAATCTGGCACAAACTTTGGAGCTCAGCCACAGAAACTGTCTTTGACCAGATTTTTGTCTGACGAGTTATTTCAACTGAATAGAAGAACAGGAGAATGCTATCTGGTCCCTGAGACAAGTGCAAATTCACTCACATAAAGCCAGCAGCAAAGGTGTTGGACAGCAAGGGCGCTCCACCCCCATACGCAGAGCTGGTCTCTCCTAACCAAACCTTCTTGTGGCGTCTGGTCTCCTCAACAGCCTATGTATGGAACAGGAAAGTCTCCACAGTAATTGCAAACAAGCTGACCAAATATGGTGCTGAAGATTATTCAATATTCAAAACCTTGCATTCCCAGAGCCATCCGTTCAATATAGTTACAAAATATTTTCGCTGTCATTTAGGTCTTGGGCAATTAACTTTTATTGGAATACTGGGTGTGGAAGGAATGTAAATAATCCCATTCTTTTCTTATGGACTCTGAGAGTTCACTCTACCAAAAGGCCATTGGAAGTATTTTTAATTTCCAATCAACATACATGGGTACGACCCGATACTAAGGGGAACTGAAGGTGAACAAGACCTAGTGCCTGCTCTCTAAAATTGGAAAAACATGTAAATTTATATACCTGTAGAATTTAGGACTAGCTAGACTACAAAATAAGGACTCTGGTTTTACATTAAAAAGAATAAAAAGACTATTACCTGGAAAATTTTTTGCACAGATGAAATAAAAGTGTCCAGTACATCAGGGTTTAGAAAATCTTCTTTGGTAGCAATTCGCCCATTCAAGTAGTAGCTAAATTATTCAGAAAATATTCAGGAAAAAGTAACAAACTTTACTTTCTGCTTTTAAGTTAATTGGCCGCCCTTGCCCTCCTTTCTACTTCTTCCCACCCCTGTGCTATTAAAAAAAAAAAAAAAAAAAGCAGAAGTTCTACTAAGGAGAGAACAAGATGGAAGGGGACCACTTATTCTGTCTTGAGAAAACATAGTCACAAATGCAGGTATTTGTGGGTTACCCGTTCTTTGGCAAGCATATTAGTTTTAGCTACTATTAGCTACATCTATTCCATGACTTAAACGATAGTGTGCCTTGATCTTGTAGAAACTACCACGTTACTTAAAACAAGTTTAAATTTCTGTTTTATTAATGTTAAGATCCTATTACAATGCTGCTTGAGACAGTTTCTTATCGGGAACTATAAAGTCAATTAGCAATTAAATGAAAACAATTTTTTGAAAACTAGGTGATAAGTAAAGCTAGCTTTACTTTCTCAGTATAAACAGTAGGAAACATACTTACTGATGCCATGTAACTGAATCAATCACTTCTCCCCCAGCTTTCAGGAAACTAGAAAAAAAAAATCTATTATGTTATCACTTAATCCTTATATGAACAATAAATGCACAAGAGTTGTCTTCCCTAGAAATAGGCTGGTTACTACTTTAGGATAAAGCAACACAAACTTCCTAATTCTGATACAAATTTTATCACAGGTGCCATTTGCCCCCAAATCTTTGGTATTCTGAGCCAGTCAATGTTTCCTCTTTTGGTAAACCTTCTAGTCAGGCAACAAATTGTGTAATAACAGGTGGTTTATTGAGGATTCTCCACCAAAGAAGAATATTATATTTAAGAAAAGTGGTTCTGCTTCCTCTAGCTCTTACCTCTTTAGCATCTTAACAGTCTTTCCTCGAGGCTGGCCAACATCAGGACCATAGAGTTTTGCATTTTTGAAAGCAGATTTTCCTAGAAGTTTATGCAACTCCATAAAATCTTCTCCTAACTGCAACCCATCGATGAAAATACCAGCCTTCTTCCGGAAACTGTTAGGTTCTGAAAGACAGCAATTCGCAAAATAATTGCTTACCTAGAAAATTTTTTATTTAAAAGCAAACATAAAAGCAGCATATAAAAGCAACAGAGCATTTTTCATATTACAAAAACTTAGAATCCAAAGTCAAGGAAAGTAAAATCTCCAGTTATAAAGAAGATATTCCAGGGAAATAAAAATATAAGTTATATAAATGAAGTATTGGGGGTAATAAAACAGTTGGAAATTAATAATTGGGATATTAAACTAGTGGATATTTAGGAAATAGTCTGTATTCAGTATTTAATAACCTAATTTACCTAAAAAAAAAAGATTGTGTGGGAGAAGACATTTAAAAACCTATTTCTACAATGCAATTAAAAGTCTTCCTGAGGGGCTTCCCTAGTGGCGCAGTGGTTAAGAATACACCTGCCAATGCAGGGACACGGGTTCGAGCCCTGGTCCAGGAAGATCCCACATGCCGCGGAGCAACTAAGCCCGTGCGCCACAACTACTGAGCCGGCGCTCTAGAGCCCACGAGCCACAACTACTGAAGCCTGCACGCCTAGCGCCTGTACTCTGCAACAAATGAAGCCCGCGCACTGCAAAGAAGAGTAGCCCCTGCTCGCTGCAACTAGAGAAAGTCCGCGCAGAGCAACGAAGACCTAACACAGCCAAAAGTAAATAAATAAATTTATTTTTTTAAAAAAGTCTTACTGAGAATTATAAGTGCAAATTGTATGTGCATGTGAGTCTGGAAGTAGCAGAGCTGAAGGGAGGGGAGGGAGGCATGGAAAGTGTCCTATCTACTTCCCAAATTACCTTACTCTTCTCTTTCACCCCGGAAACCAGACCTTCCCTTTGCAAAATGGGGCCCGGGGAAGAGGGGCACATGATGACACTCTTTTATCTTACTCTGAAGAGCAGGAGCTGGGCATGGGTAGGGTAGAAAAGTAGGGAAGGTGAGATGTACAGAGATGGGTAAGGATGGGTTCAGATGACCTATTATTCACATAGTTGCTGCAGTAAAGTTGCTCAGCATCTAACTAAGATATGGTTGCCTTGACCCTTCCTTTTATTCTGTTTTCAGTGCTTCAAACTTGCCAGTTATCCTCAGCAACCCAATCCCAAAATCTGCTGCTAGACTTTATCATAATACATACCACTATAGACATGTATCACTTCTTTGCTTGCTTTCTGGTTGGTCTGCCTCCCTACCTCTAGAACAGAAGTCTCAAGAGAGCAGGGACCTCCTACTAGAGCCAGGCTGCCTGGGTTCAAATCCTAACTCCTGTAAGATTCCTCTCACTGATAATTGCCCAGCATCACACAGCTATTGGGCTAAACTTTTTGTGCCTCTTTTGTCATCTATGAAATGAATGTCATAATTATGTTCACCTCGGGGCAATTATAAAGATAAAATAAGCTAATACTTATTAAATGCTCAGAACAGTGCCTGGAATATAGTATGTGCTCATCATATTACTACATCTCACTTCCCATTTTATCTTCAGTTCCATCGGCTGATGTGTGAACAAAGCATTGTAAATATGTCTGAATGAATGTGGCTAATCACTAGCACTTTAGTTACAATTGATAAGCTCCTTACAGTAAAAGAGTGACAAAGGAGACAATCAAGAGCTTGACCCAGGTAAGACTCTGTACCGGAACTTCTAGCTTGAACCCATTATGAGTGTTGGGATGGGGTTGCTGAGATTGACAAGTTGAGAACAGAGGAAGGAATGGAAAAGTAAAAGCAAACTGCTTGAGTCCAACCTGCCAAGCATAAGAGGTCTAGGTGACCCTGAAGATCTCAAGGGAACCAGGGAGCTGTGGAAGTGCTCAAATGTAACATAAACTGGGATTAACGATAGGCTCTGGGATACATCAGGAGTTTTCTGCCACAAGTAATTCCAAACTCACACCACTGAGCACTTACACAAATATTCCAAGGCAAAAAGCATGTTTGCTATTATTAAAAAGAAGGTCATAGATAGGAACAAATAATGCCAAAGGCGGGGAATCTCCTTATTATTGAAATGTTCCCCGGGCGGGGGCAGGGGAGCACTTACCATTGCCTAGTTCCCAGGAAATGTTATAACTCTTGGAAGAGCAGTAGTCCAGGAGTAACTGAGCATTGGAACTGTTCCAGTGCAAATCTGCAGTTCGTAGTAATGCATTTAGACCAAAGATCAGGTCCAGTCCTGAGCAACTGGCAAAAGTATACAGCATATCCACCGAGCTTCCTAAAAGAAAAATGTTGCCATTTCGTGGTTAGGTCAGCACAAGAGTGCCGAAGTGATGAAGGCCTCCAGATTTGTTCCTCATAATGAATTGCTATTTCTGTTGTTAAATGGAAGGAATTCCAATGAGTGCTTATAATTACGAATGTGTCAACAAAATTGGACTGGCAAATTAAAAAATATATATATATTACTTTATTTGCTTCAGCTGTTGAATCAAGTCCTATGGAAGGTATCAGAGGCTTTGGTCTGGCACTTGGGTTTTGTTCAAGTGACCTCAGGTGAACTGGGAAAACTGCAGTGTACGGCTCAGGGCTTAACATGCACAGGCCAGATTTTCATTAGTCAACACAAACCCCACTCTTCATAATCTAAATATCTCCACTCGTAAACTCAGTCACAAAATAACTTGGTAACTTTGATTACATTTTTTAAAAGTTTTTGAAAAATTCATGTATATAATTTATTAATTCAAAATAAATGGAATTTTACATTAAAAAATTGGCCTAGGGCTGTGGTTTCCAAACTCTGCACCAAGGCACTCTGGGGAGTGAATTCACTGGTACGGTTTAGCAAATAAAAATACAGGACATCTAGCTAAATTTGAACGTCAGATAAATAATGAATAATTTTTAGTGTATGTCATGTGCATTATTTGAGAAATACAGCAAAGAAATTATTGTTTATTTGAAATTAAAATTTGACCAGGCAACCTTGCTCACAGGGGCACTGCAGGATCTTTTAAATTTGCAAGGGAATGCATCAACATCTGTTGGACATGATGAGAACTGTTACTATTAGGTTGTTCGGACCTAACAGCTTAATTGAAACTCTCAGGTATTTCTTTTGGGCTAGATGTGCTATGAAAAAAATTGAGTCACTAAGGAGTTACTAAGGCTTTGGAGCTTTTGAACTCAGCTTTTTAACCATTAGCTAGCCTATAATCTCTTTCTGAGAGTGGCAGAAATGTATTTTTGAGTGTTTAAATCAGTTATTACCTGCATAGATATGGTGATCTTAATGTATATTTAGAGTTACCTATTAAACAGAAATTCACTTCCCTAGTTTAAAAAAAAAATATCTATCTATCTGGCAAACTAACACCCTTTCTCCTTCAAAGTGGCTCTGTTTCTAAGTCTTCAGCCTGAACTACTTGGATTACCAGAGTAGTGAAACCCTAGGTTTAATACTGCGTATAACAGCTGAGGGGCGGTAACAACACTAGCAAGCTATTTTAGGTGTTTTTGATATTTGCTGTGTCACCCACTTCCACAAACCTGCTGCCTATCATTAAGGTGTTACAGACATTGGGGTCTGAAAAGCTCTCTGAGTCCTAGCCTGTTCCTGGGATCTTAGGGCCACAGTGGAGGACAGCGTGGGACTTTGGGATTATGGAGTCCTCCCCAAACCTCCACCCTCATTTTTCTATGAGGAAACTCACACCCAAAGAAATAAAGTGCTTTGCCCAATATCACATAGCTATTTGGTGACAGTGCCACAGTAATGGAGCCTGTAATAAAGGCCCTGTGACTGTCTTAGTCACAGTTATCTTTTAGACATATACTGCTAATCATGTTGTAGGAAGTGTCCTAAATCAGGAATCATAGATCTGAGCTCCCAGCCCCACTATCCCACTTATAGACTGAATGATCAGGAGTGATCCCTTTACCTGCATGAGCCCTGGCTACAGATCTACAATCCCGGAACTAGTACCATCATCCATCTACCTCACAAAACCAAGTTGAAATAGCACATGTGAAAACCCTTTGTAAGCCATAAAAAACCCTTACAGATATAAAGCACTATTATTGCCTAGACCTTCTACAAGGATTATGGCATTTTCAAGAAACACAGAATGTTTTCATTTTTGAGTATTTATTCAGCTCATTCCTTACTCTTGCTCTATTTCCTCATTTTTCCAAAAACACTTTGAATTTAAGTAGCTTGAAATTCTATTATATGCCCTCTGTAAGAGTAACATCTCCTAGAATAAGGGCTGTATATTACTGAGTTAAAATCCACTCTTAAAAATAAAACCCACCCAGCCTATTCCCTCCTCAAAATAAGAAAACTCACAGATAATTATCCAACTGCCAGTCATTATCCAATCTCTTATCTCTTACCGTATGAAAGGGTGGAAAGACCCCTGGAATGAAGACAATCTAAATGACACGTTATACATTGGCACTGACTATTATACCATTTTTGTTTACATAAATGTGTCCAGCATCCAGTGCGGGAGTGGGATGATGAGGAAGAAAGGTAGAGAAGAAGGAGAAGAAAGGATTAGCTTATTAAATATTATAATTTTAATAAGGGAGTCTTCCTCTCTGCAGTCGCACTCAACATTATACCTGTAACATTGCTTCCTATTCCTGCCCAGACAGGTTTACAGTGTGAACCTATATTCTCATGACAAATGTTTTTGTCATTTTCTACTTAAGTGAAACATACCATCCAATGGGTCCTGTAATTAGAAAATTCACCCATATCTTTTAGGACACCTGTTTTAAAGGTGCAGGCCATTAAGCAATTAACACAATAGACTTTTGCTATCTCTTCCATCGTATGATGTTGCATCATACGATGTTACTCAGGCATTACCAACCTTAGCCACGGATGCAGAGCCATGTGTAGAGACACCTATTGGCTTCTTAGATACTTAACCCTATAATGAGCTGGTGCCCAGACCAAACGCAGTAGATTTCTTTTTTTTAAGACTTTTTTAATGTGGACCACTTTTAAAGTCTTTATTGAATTTGTTACAATATTGCTTCTGTTTTACGTTTTGGTTTTTTGGCCATGAGGCATGTGGGATCTTAGCTCCCCAACCAGGGATCAAACCCATACCCGCTGCCCTGGAAGGCGAAGTCTTAACCACTGGACCGCAAGGGAAGTCCCATAGATTTCTATCTATATGTTTCTAATACATGCAGATTAAAATAGAAAATTTCAAATCAGAAGTCAAATATTTCCAAATACAAATTAACTATCTGTATTTGTTATACATTTTAGCATTGCCAGTAGGGTGGCTGGAATTATACTGACCCAGCTACATAGTTAGTAAAAGAAGGGCTTTCCCCTGGTGCAGAAGCTATGAAGGCCCCGGTCCCAAAGGCAGGAAAAAGGTGTTGAAAACCTACCATCTTGGCTCCAAAAAGATCATGTGAGGTAGCAAACATTTTTAAAGAAAAATTTAGGACTTCCCTGGTGGTGCAGTGGTTAAGAATTCGCCTGCCAATGCAGGAGACACGGGTTCAAGCCCAGGTCTGGGAAGATCCCACATGCCACGGAGCAACTAAGCCCATGAGCCACAACTACTGAAGCCCACGTGCCTAGAGCCTGTGCTCCGCAACAAAAGAAGCCACCACAAAGAGAAGCCTGCCACTGCAACGAAGAGTAGCCCAGCTCGCCGCAACTGCGGAAAGCCCATGCACAGCGACAAAGATCCAACACAGCCAAAAATAAATAAATTAATTAAAAAAAAAATTTAAGGTAAATTGGCATATGTTTAAGATGACCAAGAAAAAAAGTATAGAGCTATAGATTACCTAATACCATAGGGTCTTCTCCTAGCAGGCCTATATCAGATGATTAATTACAAATAAGGCCATCCTGCTGAGGGTCTTTTGGACTTCTGTCATCCCTTTAATGGGATCTGAGAAGGCCCTGTCCTGCCAAATTCTGTTCAACCATAGATCATGTTATTAAACCGTTAGCATAGCTCCCCCCCACCCTCTGCTTTAAAATGCAAAAATTAATTTAGAGGACTACATTTTCTATTAGCATATAACCTATTTTCTGATTTCTTATGTGTTACTTTTTCCCTTACCTTATACATAAAAAATATAAAAACAAAAAAATCCATTGTACACACTGGAATCTAGGTAGTGTATAGTAAAATCTTACAAAGAAATAATTTACTGTCAATAATGTACTCTTAGAAATGTTGACTAACCCAAACTAACTTCAAGATAATTTATTTTTCAAAAGCCAAAAGAAGACAGTTGTAGCGTATCTAAGCAGGTTATTTTCTTAACTGAGATCTGGGGCAACATCATCCCTTAGTTGGGTATAAAACATCAACTTTTGGATAAACGTATATTTCATAGTTAGATAAGGATTGCTTGTTTCAGTTGTTTGTGGTAAAGCCCTGCATGACATCATCCCATTTAAACACCGGAAAAGTGTTTCCGTGAATGGAAATAAATTCCTGGTTAGTTGAGCTAGTCCTGTGTTTTCAAACCCACAGAGGAAAGAAAATGAGGAGAGTGGCTGCTTCTTGGAGGGGAAACAGAATGCACAATGAGGTGTGAATGGTTTCACATTTTACTCTTCACACTTTTATATTTTACTTTTACACAAGGAGTATATCCATGTCTTCCTTGACTTCCTAGTTCTTCAGAGCAGTAAAGGTCATTATTAGCTTGTGAATGAATGATTCTATATTTCACTCCGTGGCTAGTAGGCAGAGTCAGGAGAAGAAAAGTAAAAAACAGAAGTTTGGGGTTGAAGATTGCCCATTAACTCTTGCTAACATTTGAGGATTATGCAGCTTTACACACTGCTACAGGGCTTGTTAGATTCAAGCCCAAGTTCAAGCCATCCAAATATTTTGGGGGCTGGGACACTTGCAGGATACCTTTCATTTCTTACTTGAGTAGGTACTGTTCTTGAATTTTTTCTGATACTGTTCTCTGAGTAGCAATTGCTCCTGGAAGGGCCATTCCAACTTCAACCTCCTCTCCACATCAGAGGGGACGGATCCAGATTCGCAAATATCTGCAAATGGAGTAAAAAATTCAGAGAATCTATTTTCACAATGACACGGTTGAAATCCCATACACTTATTTAGCTAGCTATTTATGTGACTAAAGCAGGATAATTGAGTTTCTGGTTGTTAAGTGTAACATCAGAGAAGGATATATTCTGCTATACATGTCAAATTTGCTGGCTAATCAATTACCACAGAAGAACAGCCAAAGGGCGGGTTTCTGAAGAAACACTGGACATATACTGGACATAGACACATTGGACATAACTTCAAGTTATTTAACAATTCAGAAGGCTCCTCAGAAACCTGAAATTACTAGAGAACCCACCGGAAAAAAAACATAGTTCAGTTCTCTTAAGGTTCACTTTCAACATACATAGAAATTTGTTTTACATGGACTATATCTGCTTTGTGGTGATTTCCTCTTGCCAAATGGTAGGACAGGAAATGTTGACTTTTATTCCCTCAAATTTGGTATCATCAAAGCTCCTGAGACCACAACATGTGTACTTGGAAAATCCACCACTATCCTATCAGGCAGACTGTGCTTCCTTATCACAAGGCAGCAGGGCTGCTGGGTGCGGCTGTCAGGACTGGCTGACCCCCCAGTGACTTCCTTTCTGGGAAGCTGCACATTCTGGCTCTCTGACAGCGGGTGCCTCATCCACCCCTGTGCTCACAAAGGATGTTTCTGAAGCACTTGGATAACCCCAGTGATCCCCCCTCCCCACAGGAGGAAGAAAATTGATGAGCAAAGGACAGTTTCCTATCTAAATTTATGGGACCTTTTGAATGCATATGACTGGTGAGACAGGGCCAGGTCTAAACATATTCCAACGTGTTACACTAAGAAAACTCTCCTGCGTTTTTCATTTTTTCTAATCACTATTCTATCAATTGGCACAGTTATTAACGGTTCTGAACACTTCCTAACTGCAGAAAATAAACAGAAGGAAATATGTAATATATAAAATAATAAAATATTGTTCATTTATATATATCATAACTCATTATTGTAATTCAATGATGTATATGGCTCTTTAATAACTGTTAAGATAATGATTTAGCTTCCATTTGATGTCTGTATAGCACTTATGAAAGACACAGGGCAAATCCTCGTGGCGCCCCAGGGTGTTTCTCAGATGAAGCCCACAGACTCCCAATATCAGAATCATCTGAGGAGCTTGCTAAACTTGTAACCTAAGTTTGGAGCCCAAGAATCCAAATATTCAAACTCACCCCAGGTGATTATGTCTAGTCAATAAAGTTTGAGAACCACTGCCCAACAAATCAAGTCTTGAAATCCATTCTTAGAAGCAGAGCATATCTCCATGTCCCCTTATTACACCTTTCATCCACATTTTTTGGAATAAATGGGTTTCGATCACTGCTGTGTCTTGAGCAGGAAATACTCTTTTCGTTTTGGTGCATTTCTACCCACAGGCCCCTCTCGGCAGCTCTGTCCTTTTAGCTACAATCATTGTTCTGTTTACACCACAATTAACTCTCCCCTGCCCCAATGTTGTGTCCAGCACACCATCCCCCCTGCCCCAGTGTCTCACATTCATGAAAACATCAGGAGGAGGAAACCTGCCCACCGCTTCCTCCTTTTGTATAGGTGCCTCCACGGGTCCGCTGGGAGCCCTTCATCTCTTATTAATTGTTAGATGTGAGCAATAGCTCTCCTCTGAGAATGCCCACGAGTGACTCAAGTTATCAAGTTAACTCAGATATATGGTTAATCTTTAAAGTTTCACCCTGGTTGACTTGAGATTGCCAGTAACTTCTCTCTTCAAAGGTTGGTTCCTTCTTGGGATCAAAAATGAGAAAGTCCGTCTTCGTGCCACCAAATCTCAGGTATGCGGGAGACAAACCTCTGGCCAAAGTACGAAGCTTTGAAGAACTGTTATGAAGACAAGCAAGAAATTAAAGTTATTTTTTCCAAGACAATGCAGTCAAACACATTTACTCCCTTCTCTCTTGGTGGACCCATTTCCTAACAGCTGTACAGGCCCTGGAGGGAGAAATATCGCTCTAACAGGGACATCGTCTCAATCGGAATCTTCCTAATTGCAAGGCTGCTCTTCTAGGCACCTGAGAAAACTTGGAGCTCTGACTCGGGCAAGAGCTTATATTTCAACTTGACAAGCAGGATAATGTTCAGTACTTTCAAAAAATTCATAACCTTTTGTGATTCATGGAGGAAAAGAGGTGAGAGAGTGGAAAGATGACTCTGTTTCTTGGAAAAATAGATTGTCTTCAAAAATTTATGTTCCCAGAGAAGTTCATAAATGATTGGGAGTCCTCTTCATCTCCTTAACCAAGCCCCACCTCCACCCCAAGGAAAACCTTCCTTTTAAATTTAAGTCAAATGACTTAGAACGATGTAAGATTCTAATTCCTACCCACCTAGGACACTTCCAATTCAAGCAATTCTAAATGCGTATGTCATCAAGCCCAAAATGCTCCTGATAGGTGCCTATTATGCACTCAGAATGGTACAGAATGCTGTAGAATGGAATTAGAATGATTTATAATTCCTTCTCTCAGAGAGATGAAGATGTCATGAATATTTAAGTGAAAAAAAAACTAAAAAAACAGAAGACCCAGGTAACAGGGACACTTGTCATGTATTTCTGAAGCCTCACATATGTGATCCTGGCTTCAGTGCTCTCTGGAAAGCTCTTAAAACACATGGAACCAATGCTGTGTGTTCTCAAAATGGCCCAGTTAATTAGTTTACATTTGGGTTTATTTCAAATTGGAAAATCATGCCAGGAGGACTATCTAATTGACAGTATTTCTTGACATCCTAGGAACTGAAGACAGGACCTAAAATTTAAAATTTCAATGCATGCTCCTGCTTTAACTATATATAGTGCTATGTAAAATTTCTGTAAGATTTCTTTATTTTTTGCTTAGGAAAGAGAAATTAAAAGGTGGAAATTGACCAAAGGATAAGTGTCTTGCGTTAAAAACTTCAGCGATTCCTCCTCACCATTTTTTTTGTTTGTAACATGAAAGCATTTACAGTACTACCTAGGCACTTTCGCCTTCATGAACCTCTTCCACCATAAAAATATTTTTTAAATTATATTTTGTGATGATATTCATGGAAAGACAAATATGTTAACATTATATATTGAAACATTTTCGAGGGCCCCTGCACCTATTGTGGGTCCTGGCATGAGGAGACGTTGCACAAAGTGAGACTTCAGGGATGTTATCAACATGGAATTGACTGAAATACCTGACAGCACCAAAGAACTCTGGGAAGGATGGCATCTGCCAGGAAATCCTCAGAACCTCTTGAAGATAAATGGGAATGTTCGCTTGAACTGAGTAAGGATTCAGAAGAAAGCCATTTCCACTATGCTATGCACCCAAATAAAACTAAACTGTAGGGACTTCCCTGGTGATTCAGTGGTTAAGATTCCAATGCAGGGGGCACGGGTTCAATCCCTGCTCGGGGCACTAAGATCCCACATGCCTCGAGGCATGGCCACAAAAAATAAATAAATAAACTGTAGGGAGGGGGAATAGCACATTATTGTTTAATGGGTACAGAGTTTCAGTTTGGGAAGATGAAAAAGTTCTAAGATGGCTGGTGGTGATGGCTGCACAACAATGTGAATACACTTAATGCCAGGGAACTCTGCACTTTAAGTAACCACAACTTCTACTATTAAAGGAACAACCTGTAGACATAGTGTGATTTCAACAATGAAAATAATATATATATAGAAGGAGATAACAGGAGTCACAATTATGTGGTGAAATGGATGGTAGACTCTTTCTTATTGCTTTTATGTATTTTTCACATTTTCTATAAGCACATAATTTTTGTGTGTGTGTGTGGTACGCGGGCCTCTCACTGCTGTGGCCTCTCCTGTCGCGGAGCACAGGCTCCGGACGCGCAGGCTCAGCGGCCATGGCTCACGGGCCCAGCCACTCCGCGGCACGTGGGATCTTCCCGGACCGGGGCACGAACCCGCATCCCCTGCATCAGCAGGCAGACTCTCAACCACTGCGCCACCATGGAAGCCCAATAAGCACATAATATTTTAATTCATACAAGGTGACTCTGTGTGTGTGTGTGTTTCTGTCTTTTTAAGAATAGGTGAAAAAAACAAGAGTTACTTAAAGGAGACATAGTCATCCATTAATTTATTCAATAAATATTCATTGTAGGCACACTCTGTGTCAGGCATTATGTTAGTTGCTGGGGCTACAATGGCAAACAAGCCACAGGCAGCTGCTGTTCTCATATAATTTATAGTCCAGTGATATATATATATATATATATATATATAAACAAGTAAATAGGCAATTCCAAAACAATGCTATCAGAACATACAAAGGGGATCTTAACCCAGACTTTGCCCTAGAGGTAGGAGGTGGTTAGAGGTTTTCCAGGGGCAAGTGCCTTCACTGTTAGATGTTCAAAAGGAAAAAATCTTATCCAGATCGAAGATAGTGAGGTGGGATTGAAG